GCCTCAGGAGAAAAACAAACAACAAAACATCAACAACCAATAATCACTCACACAGAGAAAGTATTTACAACCAATTGTGATATTCATCACTGAATGCAAAATTCTACATCAGTACTGTTAGAAAGACCACAGACATTCCTATTAGAGTTAATATCTGGTGTTTGACATGGAAAACTCTCAGGAAACATTTGGTTTCATACATTCAGTGCAACTTCCATTCAAATGGAATCAAAATGCTGGAGACAGAAAGAATCCAGCACTGCAACACTGATTCCCAGCATCAATCCAGCCCTATTGAGCAGTGTTAAAATCAACGGAACGCATTGCCAAAAAACAAATGATGTTGACAAATGTAACTGTTGCATAAAGAAAATGGTAACAGCTATGCAAATCACTGTCTTTCCATACCAAAATAACAAAGGACCTGCGACATAATGCCTAAGGTGGAGAAGTATTGTTTATACTACTCAGCATAAACAGTGCTGAGGAATGGAACCATCTTCATATACAAGAGGTAATGTGTGTTCATCCCGAAGAAAAAATGGTTAACAACTATTCTGGGTTCCTAAAACTGTTTTGAAGTTGATCATATTGTTACTTAAAAGCAATGAAGAAAAGGAGAGGTATTATCAGATGATCATTAAGTCTTCTGAAACAGATTAAATAATCATTAATTTATTCCTATTATAATTACACATTGATTGTCTACACACAATTTCTAATTACAAGAGTGCTAACAACCAGAATTCAGTTGGTTTTTTTTTGTTTTTTTAAGGGAAAATATTTATGGTTCCCTCAAGAACACCAGCTGTTTTCCTGCAAGATTGCCAAAATCAAACCACAAAACAGCTAAGTGCAAAATTAATGATAAGTATATTACAGAAAGCCAATGAACCATCACATCAGTATTACACAAAAGACTGATTCATACAGTAGTCCTTTCTCTATGGTTTATGGATTGCAAGCAAAATATTTTCATAAGCAAAGAATGTTAAAAATCCACATAAGTAATTATCTAGTTATGCTGTTAAAGGCACTAGCACCAGCAACAGAAGTTTTGTATCAATAAATGAATCTATCCTAATCAGACTGTTTTGTGGCTAGTAGAACATTTAGGGGGGTAGAGGGGAGAGAGGAAGGGGGATAAAGGCGAAGGGTGGAAAAGAGAGAAGGGAGGGGACTGTGGAAAAATCCCCCAGAGCCCAAATGAAAGACAGCAACTATTTTGTGCTCGATCCAAAGCCTTTGAAGTTAACAGAAAGTCTTCAATTAAACTGCACAGGACTATGCATCAGGCCCCTTTCATGATTTAATGCATTTCCTCAGATTAAATTCAAGAGAATAGTGACATTTTAAAATATATTTTTCATTAAAAAGTACGTGTTGTTTTTTTTTTTTTTTAATAAATTAAAGCCAAGATCAAAGAAGTACATTTATTAACATCAACTCAAATAGAAACCTTTCTATTTTTCAGAGATAGAAAATACAGATGTGACTGTCCCTCCTTGGATGCAGCTATTTGGTTGAAATTCTGCTTGATTTAGAAACGCCATCTTCCCTTCTTTCTATGTCACAAAGCTAAAAAGTACTTGAATTATCTTTAAAATTTCCTGCTAAGGAAATTTATGTTTTTAAAGGTAAGAGTATTTTTAAGAATAATTATTATTGTTGTGTAACCATGTCCTACTCATGTCTCGTAACCCAAGACTACCATTTACTGATACAATCTGAGGAACCTCGTGCTCCAAATAGCTATTTAGCAATTGTAATGCTGTACATTGATTAATACCTCTAATATCACAGCCTTTCATAAAACGCTTCCAACAGACTGCATTGTCATGGTAAATTTACAAGCACTGTGACTACCCTACCCTTACTCTTTTTGGTTCCAGATGAGATACATGTTGAGGGGTGGGACACAAACTCATCTGGGCAATGGATGTTAAATTCACTCACCTTCAAAATAACATCCCAAACTTCAACTGTAGCATTATAACCTTGGAGTAACCATTAAAATATGTACACCAAGACATCACTAATGTCATTCCTGCATAATCATCTTAAGTACAGGCATTCTCATCAGGCAACCTAGACTTTCAGTCATCAAAATCATACCATGCTGCTCAGCTGAATTCTGGCATATCTGCCTATGGCCATGCATTAGATGTCCGTTCTATGAGGGCTGCTCCGAAAGAAATGCCTGCTGTTTTAAGATTTTGGTCCACTACAACAGAAGCAAATGTTGGTGGTACAGCAGTATAGGTTGAACCTCCTTCCCAGTATTCCATTCCATGTTGTTGCTGTGTGACAAATGGCAGCAGAGAGGCAGTCTGATAGAATGGCTTCGGTGAAACAAAGGTGCTTGGCCTTTGTCTGCTCTCAATCTTGCAATGAACAATTTTTTTAGCATTAGCTTCTGGAGCACAATAATGATGAACCAAGAATCCCAGAACAGCTCAGGGACACATGCTACAGTAACCACATTAAAATGCTACACAGATGGAAATCTGTTTAAAAAATTAGACAGCAGGTCTGCCACGTGTTCTTCAATACTAACAACTGGCAAATGTGTTTGTTGCAGACAGCACAGAACTGTGTTCAGAACCTGCAGAAAAGCTCAATGAGAATCTAGAGAATAAAGGTTCCATTTTCAACAGCTGTGACTAAGCACCAACAATAAAGTCCAGCTGCAGTCACATGGCAACATTTAATACCGTCTTTACAGCAGAGTTTACCATCTGTTAATAGCAATTGAGCCAGCTGCAACAATACTCAAAATGGATGTAAAGAGTTTCAGCAGAGGTGCACGAAGGACAGCTCACCCACTGCTTCTTCTCTTATATTAATGTGTTAGCCCTGTGATGTTTTTTATAAATTTTATAAATGAAACCCAGAAAACATCTTTTTAAATAGAAAAGTATGCCTATCTTATTCTGAAAAAAATATGCGGAAAAATAGTAATAGAACATAAACTCTCAGTGGGCAGAAGGAATTAAACAAATATCTTGACTACACATCCACTACGCAAAACTAATATTCAGCATTCCACAGTGAATTAAAAGCAGATTGCCTTTTATCAGTGAAAACAAACCTATTTGGAAAATGAAAACAGCCACAGGATGTTTTGCTTCAAATATTTCAAAACTGAAGTTAATGAAAAGGTAAACAGTATGGTCGACATTTCACGGGATCTAAAGAATACTGCTAGAGATAGATTTTTTTTCCCAAATGTTATTATTAATAACTAACTGTGGGAAAAGATGAAATAATACATTGACATATTAACTTTTATTAAAGCATGCAAAAAATACTCCCTTCAGCAGTGGGAATGCTATGGCCAGCCAGTGGTTTCAGTGGCTCAGCTACCACTTGTTACGGGAACTACAACAGTGAGGTTAAACTGTTGGTTTAAAACAGCATCAGAACTCACCCAAACACTTGTTTATTTTAAAATGAGACTCATTCATTATAATAGGTGAGATTAAGTCTTTCATACTGCTGTAAAACCCTACTAGCAGCAGAAAGTGACACAAATAAGAATTTTAAAAAACAAAACAAGTCCATCAAGACACCTGCATTATATGTTTTCAAGGATTGTGGCAAAATAAAAGCCAATTTTAATTAAATTTGGAAAATATACAGTTAGCCATGACTATGAAAACAAGAATTCTATTACCTAAGAGAAATATCCTGGGCTAGGAAAATTTCATAGCCACCTCCTATCCTTTACCATAATCCGCTTATATCTGAAGAACTTCTAGGAAAAGAAATGGATAGATAAAATGAACTGGTAAGACTACCAATACTCCCTTTCGTATTCTTGACAACTGAAAAACTGTCCTCTTAGGCGATTCCAAATATATAAACTCATAAACTCCTTCAAAACAACTGAATCAAATATTTCATTCTGGGACTTCTATTCTTGAGAAAGCAGTCAGAACAAAGCTGATGCATTGAACATATGATAGATAGCAGCAGAGGGGCAGAATTGTGTCCACCATATCTGCCCCTGATGTCATGGGCCAACAGAATAAAATAAGATGTATTACTTTTGGAACAGTTATCATACATCAATAAGATCCAACCTGTGACCTCTCTAGTATACTCTAGTATACTCTCTAGTATACTAATTTCATTTTGCTTCAATGATATCCTGTTGCATTCTATGCTGATAACTGAGCTGCACCACATATGGCCATGCTTTGATAGAGTGTAATTACATCACTATAGGAGGAAATGATCAAACACTGCATTAAAACTTTGACTGTGCATGATGTGTTTTTCAGATCGCAGATGCTCCACAGCCCTCAGCTGCCCATCCAGAAGAATTGAGGAGGATTTGGAGGAAAACCTACTGTTCGTTTTACTGATATTTTTGATTTGAAGTCGCTTTATAAGATCGTTTCTGCAACAAATCACTTACAAGGCTACCTTTTTCTGCTCTTTACAGCGTCTTCATTTTATCCCCTCCAGTTATTACTAGTTAGTTAATAGTTCAGTCAGTGGACAGTGGAGAAACACTGTGTTGAAATGGCTGCACTAAAATTTCACCTTTATTTCAGGCTAATGTCCTTTTCACATGGATAAACTTCTCTCTTCCTCTCAAGTACATAAAGCTTATTTTCATCTGTTGTTGGAAGTGTAATTATTTACATTAATTAACTCATGTAAATGTACTAGAAAACATGACAAGCCTATTTATAAAAACTGTGCTTCCTGGTATGCAATTCCTGTTGCTTGATGTTAGCCCACCAGCCTTAATGAAAAGCCACTCGTGCTAAAATAACTATACAGTTTTTTGCAGACGTGCCCTGTTGGAGTGATGACTTTAGAAACAAAAGAAAGATTTATAGTTAAGATCCAATATAACGTACATCACACACTTTGCAAATGCAGATAACCCCACTCATACACACGCATAACTTATATACATCATCATTAGGGGCTCAGACATTTTCTCACACTCACAGATTAGGAGCAACAAAATCAGCAAACCTTACCTTTCTGCAGATACTTTCAAAATTAACTTCTTTCCTAAGTGCAAGTCTGGTAACTTGGTCCGGCTTTATTTCCTGTGGATGAAAGACATATTTATTCCTTTTATGATCAGACTTTACTATTCTAAGGCTTACCTTCCTTACAAGTACTATTATTTCGCGGTATCCTCCACTGATTTCGTAAAGGAAGAAGATCATTTGTTATGTACAGAAATTTTTGATGTTGTTTATGCAAATAATATATTTTCTTATTGACATACACAAATATTTAGGGTTAAGCCATGAAATCGAATTTGAAATTAAAACAACAACCCAAGAAAACAACAAAGAGCTCTCCCTTCTCCCTCTTGTGGATATAATGAAGATGCAACTTCCATTTCCAGCCTTAAGAATTTCCATTAGAATGGAATTAGCATGCCATGAGGAAAGTGGAGTTGGTTAGAAGTTGGATATTTCATGAAACACACACCTCTGACAGATTTTTCATTAACATACATATTATATACAACTTGCATTACAAAACAAACAATCTGTTAACTTGATCAGTAAAATACACTAGGTATTGGCCTTTTCTTCCTAGGTCACTGCATCTAATAAATCATGCAAAACACCAGTTGTTTGCCAGATGGTGACTTTAAAAGCAGTTTAACTTCTGATAATACAGAGCCCAAATAACTTCCATGTATTCATAGTTCTGAAAACTTTGTACAAAGACAGCTAGTTATTCTGATAGTTATTGTGTAGATATTGTTCATATCACTATACTGCAGGTTCCAACTTAAAGAAAATTGAATTTCTGAAACTCTACAAAAGCATATGCCCTAAGTCAAATATAGTAAACTGCAACACTTGTGCCAATTGAGATATTTGTGTCAATATTAGTTAGTATCAGAAGAGCTTCCTCATGCTGAGATCTAAAGGTCTGCAAATTCATCTCCTATAGGTACTGGTGGAAGCCCAACCACCTGGCACACAGAACCCAGACTGGAAAAACACTGGTGAATGTAGGAAACTTACACTGGCAGATAGACAGACTGGATGACCTAATAGAATCTAGAGATGGAAAAGACCTATGATTCAGTTTTCCATGACTTTCAAAAGCGTTTTACAGATGGTGAAACTAGGACACGGTGGTTAAGTGACATGCTAATAGTCAGAGTTGGCGAGAAGTCATGAATGAAGAACTGGAACCCAATACTGTTCATTAAATCTAGGTGTTTCTTTATATTAAAAAGAATCTATATAATAATTTATATGATCTTCATTCTACCTCCTTCCCCCACACAGGAAAAATGTGCCTATTTTTTGTTTTTTAAGGATTTAAATGCAGCATTCTCTTTTAAAGGGAAGCAAGATAAGCTTCAGCCATACCTGCAGTCCTTCACCCCAGACCCACCAGCAGCTGTGCACAGGACACGTGCTAACCCCACTCTCACTGCAGCTGGCTGCTGGAACAGAAGCTGTCCCTTGCTCTAATGACTGAAGCAGTAACATTCAGCAGCTACCTGCTCCCCTGGCACAGGCTTGGGCTCCTACATCCTGGTCTGACTCCATTTGCTGACTCTGTATTTACTCATGGTTGTCCCAGCAGTAGCTGTTACTTCTGTGCTTCGTGTTGCACATTGAGACCCACTATCCACTTCCACAACAGTGTCTGCCAGCTATAGCACTTGTGTAATTGGTGCTGGCCACAGCCAGATAGCAGATTCTATTGCAAATGCAGGGTTTCATCTCTTTTCTACAGGAGGAAAGGCACTCAGCAGGCAGTGGAGGTGGACCTTTCAGTGGCTGTTTTTTCATCATCCCTCAAGAGGATGATGGATAGGCAAGAGACAATGGCTGATTCCAGACCGTGTTCCATTTCACCATCTATCATGAAGCCCCTTAAGAGACAAGGACATGTGCAGCGGAGAGATCTGCGGGCTGGTGCACACAACATGAAGCACAGTGGTACTCTCACCTCCCTGGTGCTCAAGCCAAGATAACAGGCTCCACAGGGGCAGCAACAACAGGGGTCTGTCAGTCAGCTGGGCCTCGTTACGGCTGCAGATGATGACGAGGCCTTGAGCTGAGAGTAAGCTGAATGAAGAGGATGTGGAAAACCACTGGAAATAAGAAAACTGCCGGATGTGACAGATAATGCAAGTAGATGGCAATACAGTTACAGATCTCTGAGAGTTATGTGAAGTACAGACAAGCTTCAGAGAAAGCTGGAGGAGTTCTGGAAGTCTCATGGGGAGGAAATCTTACACTTTCAATGGTACATACACAGACCTACCAGTAACAGCACATACAGTCACATCTATCTACAAAGTCACATCAAAATAACCAAATTTGGGTGTGGTACAACAAAACTGGCAACAATGGGAATAACAAATTATAGGTGGGCAAACACTAAACTGGGACGGAATAAGGGATAGCCAGAGGCAAGGAAAGGCTGGACTGTGAAATGGGACAACACAGCATGCAGCCAGACAGCTGAGCACTGCTGTGGGGCAGCCCTGCTGCTGCATGTCAAGCACTGCAGGCAGCAATTTCACCCTGTTGCCTATGGAAATGTAACAAAGGCTATTCTTCTGGTTTTGGGTTGTTTTTGTTTTGTTTTTGTTTTGTTTTTGGTTTCAACGATGTGGTTATTTAAACTGGAACTGTCTTACACATGACACTTGCAGGCAGAAGAACTTTGGTTTTTTTGACCATGGGGCAATTTACTCAGCTCCTGGCATGACGGCTGCAGATGGAGCTCAACTGTCTGCAAGGGGTAAAAGGATCCTAGCCCAGGAGCTGGCGGGCCTCATTGAAAGGTCTTTAAACTAGGTAAGAAGGGGGAAGGGGACAAAATGAGGACTGCTGAGGTTCAGGTAGCTCAAGGTTCAAAAGTGAACTTGATGGGTGACGAGGGTGGAGTTCAAAGGGATGGAGTGTGGCAGGGGAATGCTGCCTCCCTGAAGTGTCCATACACTAATGTGTGCAGCACGGGAAACAAACAGCAAGAGTTGGAGATCTGCGTGCGGTCACATGGCTATGATCTCATTGCGATCACAGAGACGTGGTGGGACAGCTCGCATGACTGGAATGTTGTCATGGAGGGCTATGTGCTTTTTAGGAAAGATCGGCTGGTGAGGCAGGGTGGTGGAGTTGCTCTTTATGTAAGAGAGAAGCTTGAATGTATTGAACTCCACCTGGGGGAGAGTGGTGTAGCAGTGGAGAGCTTGTGGGTAAGAATCAAGGGGCGGGCTGGTATGGCTGGTATGGTTGTGGGAGTGTGCTACAGGCCCCCTGATCAGGAGGAGGAGGTTGATGAGGCCTTCCACAAACAGCTGGAAGCAGCGTCACAATCCCAGGCGCTGGTGCTTATGGGGGACTTCAATTATTCAGATATTTGCTGGAAAAGCAATGTGGCCAGGCATGCGCGGTCCAGACGGTTCCTGCAATGTGTTGAAGACAACTTCCTGATGCAGGTGGTTGAGGAATCGACAAGGCGAGGGGTACTGCTGGACCTTATTCTCACTAATAGAGAAGGGCTTGTCAGGGAAGTAAAGGTCGGGGGTAGCTTGGGTTGTAGTGACCACGAGATGGTGGAGTTCAAGATCCTGAGTGGAAGAAGTAAAGCAAAAAGTAGGATTGCTATCCTGGACTTTAGGAGAGCCAACTTTGATCTCTTCCGGGGCCTACTTGGAGCTGTCTCATGGGCTAGGGTGTTGGAAGGCAAGGGGGCCTGTGAGAGCTGGTCGGCATTTAAGCAGCTCTTCTTCCAAGCTCAGGATCGGTGCGTCCCTGTGAGGAAGAAATCGGGAAAGGGTGGCAGGAGACCTGTGTGGATGAGCAAGGAGCTCGTGCACAAAATCAAAGGAAATAAGAAGGCCCATGAAATGTGGAAAAAGGGTCTGACTACTTGGGAAGAATACAGGAATGTTGTCAGGGTCTGCAGGGATGCGACAAGGAAGGCTAAAGCCTGCCTGGAATTAAATCTGGCAAAGGGGATAAAGGATAATAAAAAAGGTTTTTTCAAGTACATTAACAGTAAAAGGAAGACTAGGGAGAATGTGGCTCCCCTGCTAAGTGACGGGGGTGTTCTGGTAACGGGGGATGCTGAGAAGGCGGAGATACTGAATGCCTTCTTTGCTTTCGTTTTCAGTGAAAAAGCTCCCCCTCGGGAATCTGAGACCCTGGAGGTTAGTGAGAGGATCTTGGGAATGGAAGACCTCCCTTCTGTCAGGGAAGAGGTGGTCCAGGAGTGCCTAGGCAACACCAATGTTCACAAACCCATGGGACCCGATGGGATTCATCCACGGGAGCTGAGGGAGCTGGCAGAGGTGATTGCTGAACCGCTTTCTGTCATCTTTGAGAGGTCTTGGAGGATGGGGGAGGTGCCTGAAGACTGGAAGATAGCCAACGTCACCCCGGTGTTCAAAAAAGGCAAGAAGGAAGACCCAGGCAATTATAGGCCAGTCAGCCTCACTTCTGTCCCTGGAAAGGTGATGGAACAACTGGTGTTGGATGTCATCTCCAGACAACTGGAAGAAGAGGAGGTTATCAGGAGTAGTCAGCATGGGTTCACAAGGGGGAGGTCGTGCTTGACCAACCTGGTAGCCTTCTATGATGTTGTCTCTGGCTGGGTGGATAGGGGGAGAGCAGTGGATGTAGTCTACCTTGATTTCAGCAAGGCGTTTGATACTGTCCCCCACGACATCCTTATAACAAAGCTGAGGAAGTGTGGGATAGATGAGTGGACAGTGAGGTGGGTTGAGAACTGGCTGACTGGCAGAGCGCAAAGGGTTGTTGTTGGTGGTGCAGAGTCCAGTTGGAGGCCTGTAAGCAGTGGTGTTCCTCAGGGGTCTGTGCTGGGTCCGGTCTTGTTCAACATCTTCATCAATGACCTTGATGAGGGGATAGTGGCCACACTCAGCAAGTTTGCTGATGATACGAAGTTGGGAGGATTGGCTGACACGCCTGAAGGCTGTGTTGCCATTCAGCAAGACCTGGATAGGCTGGAGAGCTGGGCAGAAAAAAAAAAACAGATGAGGTTTAACAAAAGCAAGTGTAGAGTCTTGCATCTGGGGAGGAATAATTCC